CTGTCAGCCTTCACAGACCACAGTAAGAACAGACCCAGTTCGTCACACTTATCATTAGAATCTTTGAGAGAGGCGAGTTTCGATTCTGTCCACCTACCATTTGCCTCTTCCCACCACTGCATGAAACAATCAACCTCTCCTCTAGCCAATTTAGTTTTAGGTTGGCCGAGTTTGTCTTTTAAGACGTCCACTCGGTCTTTGTCCCAAGATCCTAACAGTGGCCACTGAGTTTTGGGATCTCCCTGAGTTAGCCTAGACCATTTTTCCAGAAATTTACAGGAGTCCAGACCCTTCCTAAAATGCATAAAATGAGCCGGTGTTCCTTTAGGGAACTGTCCCGACTTAAGACGTCTGGTTACCCATACAGGAGGACTTCACACACACCAATCACACAAGAAGGAAATTCAGGTTCGTCAGAGCGATGCCCGGTGCAACACACAAAAGGAGCCCACAGGCTACTGCCTCAATCTCCCTTGCTTTCACACCAAGGGTTTTACCCAAGGCGCGGTGCGGCTGCGACTGTGCAGATTTCATTCACTCAGACCGCGGGGACAGGAACCCCTTGGTCGGCCGATCCCGGACGGAGACGGCGCCCAGACTCAAACGCTCCACAGGAGGACGGATAGACACAGAGAGAGGACAGTCCTCAGTCCGGACAAAACACAGAAATAATTACCTGACCAGATTCCTGATGTCAGATCCCAGGATCCCTACCAGAACAGAGTGGGAACCAACAAGTTTGGTGGTCGTGCACCTTTCCATTCCGGCGGCAGACCGCTCGGGCTAAATGCCCAGGTGCCGGCTGCCACGGTCGTCCTGCAAAAACGGTCAGGAATCACACGGCTCCAGCGAAGACGGTTGCCATCTCAGTGGGACCTCCAAATTGTCAAAGTCAGTCTCAGGACTCACAATTTGTCAGACCACTCTGTTTATTAGCAAAAGCGTTCTGCTAATACACCCGGAAAATGTAAGCGCCATACAAGGCTCAAACCACCTTATTTATACAGATAAAAGGGCGCGAGATTAACAAGATTACAAACGGAGCAGAACTGATAAATTTACCTGGGGCTAGACACATATCTCATGTCCTTATTAACTCTCACCAGTCTCCTGTTAATGTCCCACCATCAGCTTAAGTGGACCCATTGTTCAATACCTTAATGTTCCTCTTCCTGACAACTTTATCTCAACATTCCTCATCCCTGCTTACAGGAACATACAGCATTTCTTTAATTCATTCTACTTCTACAATAGAATTCATTCTACTTTCACACTGCACAGTCACACAGACGTGTCCTGGGTATGCTCACACATGCTGCACACTTGCAACACGCATGCATCATATATGTTCACACACACACTGTGATACTCACAGAAACACAAGCAGGGAGGTCTGGAAAGGGATGGGCAACTAGCCCAGCCCCCTGCACTGAGGCAGCACACAGGGAAGCCTAGACCCTGACAGGGGTTTGTCCAACCTGTTCTTAAAACACCTCCAGTGATAGAATCTTTCCCCTAATATCTCACCTCCATCCCCCTGGCTGCAGATTAAGCCCATTGCTTCTTGTCCGACCTCCAGTGGAGAACTGGTCACTGTCCTCTTTATAGCGACTGAGACCAAACGGCCCATGGTTAGGAGGCACACCGAGTGCAGCAGGGCCCATAGGGGAGCTGTACCCTCCCCCTTCAGCCATCTCTGCCCCACAAGGGCCCAGTGGCCGCACCGCGCCGTGCACCCGGCCTGGCGTACCCCGGAGACGGGCGGGTGCCCCGCTGCCTGTATCTCGGAGACGGTCTCTAAGCCGGCCGGGTCCCCTCCTCCCCGCTGCTGCTGCCCGCGCTGTCGTTCTCCGAGCAGATGAGGGGCGGCAGGGGGTAGTTGGGGAAGTTCCCCAGGTTGGCTCTCAGAAAGACGAGGCGCTCCACCCCCAAGCCCCGCCTCTCTTTCAACCCGGCCAGGGAATCAGCTGGGAGCACGGCTGGGGGATAGATTGGTTTGGTGGCAGTGGGGCCCGGAGAGAGGAGGTCAGCTTGGAACCAGGGCCGGCTTTAGGAATTCAATTCGAACATTTTCGGCAGGGCCCCGATGTAAAAAAACACTTTTCATTTCTTCCATGTATTATTTACTTTCCATAACTATATAAATAATAACAAAATTATATATTACATACATTGCGTAACGTATGCGGATGCATGCTAACCCTACCTACAGTTCTTGACGTCTCCCCCCCCGAACCCCGGCCCCCCCCCCCCCCCCCCCCCCCCCGCCCTCTGACCGCCCCGACCCCTATCCACCCCCCCACAACCCCCCGAACTGCCCTGCCCTCTTCCAACACCCCCTCCCTGCTCCCTGCCCCCTTACCGCGCTGCCTGGAGCCGCTCGGCTGGGGCCGGGGCCGGGGCTGGGCTGGAGCCGCTTGGCCAGGGCCGAGACCGGCGCCACGGGGCCCGAGCCGGGCCGGGCCGGAGCTGCTCGGCCGGGAGCGGGCTGGGGCTGGGGGCGTTCGGCCGGGGCCAGGCCGGGGGGCCAGGCCAGAGGGAGCCGCGCGCTCGGCCAGGGCCAGACTGGGCTGCGCCGCGCCTCCCTGGAACCCTCCTCGTGCCCCCCCACACCTCCGCCCCAGCTTACCTCCTGCCTGCTGCTTGTTTCAGGCTTCCCGCGAACATCTGATTCGCGGGAAGCAGAGGAGGGGGAGGAGAAGGGGGCGGAGCGTTCAGGGGAGGAGGGGGAAGTGGGCCGGGGGCGGGGTGGACAGCTTCGCGGGGCCCTCTAGGCGCGGGGCCCCATTCAGGGGAATCGGCCGAATCAGCCTAAAGCCGGCCCTGCTCGGAACACTTTGAAGGCGGGCGGAGCGTACTTTAAGTACTTTACGAAGGATTAGAAGAGCAGCGCGAGGGTTGAGTCTGGTTGGCAGGGAGAAAGTGGGATCAGAGGCTGGCGGGGGGGCAGGCTACGGTTAGGGCCATGGGTGAGGCACAGAGCAGGGAATAGCTGGCTTCAGGATCTAAGGAGAAGTATCTCCGCTGCCCCCCGCCCTCCCCAAGCGCTCAGACTCTGTGCTGAGAATTCAGCTCTTCGAACCATTCGGAGAAACACTGAACTTCAAACCAGCTCAACCTTCAGCATTTCCAACCCCTGCTCTCTGTTCCTCTGTTGCCTAATCCACCTGCCCTCCCAGCCAGTGACCCGATGCCACGGGGCCCCTGCCTGCCTGGGAAAGGTTCGGCTCTGCCACGCGGTTGCTCTCTCTGGGTGGAACATCTGTCAGGTTTCCGATAAAACGTAGCGACCAGAACGGACAAACAAACTGATCCAGCCGTGGGGGCTGGGAGACCCAGCGCCAGGGACGGACACAGCCCGATTCCCCAGCTTGTAGGGAGCAAGATGGACTCAATGGGACCTGCCCAGACTTTGCCCTCGCTGCTGCTCTGAGCTCCGTTCTCGTCACAGGGCGGGGGTGGGGAAAGCCTGCGGAGCCCCCTGTGGGCAGCACCCCTAGAGCCAGAACCCCTGCAGCTGCCAGAGCTCGGGGCGCCCGTTGGGAAGAGCTCCGGAGGGACGGCCTCGGGTCTGGGAGTTCGGTTCCTTTCTCTGCCATTGGCTCGCCGGGAGCTTCCTCTCGCTGGGCTGCAGGGATAGTGACCGTGACATGACCCCCCCCCTCACTCAGTATGCACTGCCCCGGTGCCCTGCGCTGGGCGATGCCCCTGGATTGCAAAGGGCTGTGAGGAGGAGCCAGCCCGGGGGGGTCCCAGCACCAGGCCGGAAGCAACGGGTGGCAGAAGCTGAACCTCTGTGAGTCTCTTTCCATCCTACCTCCTGAGCGTCCCCTCCCCCACCCCAAACACACACCTGTCCCTGGGCAGATGGGGGCTGGGTGTGGGGCGAGCTGGCAAGGCGGTGGGTCTCTGCATTGCGGTGACCCGCAGGGCGTGCAGAGCTTCCCCCAGACACAGCCGGGGAGAGCACAAGAAAGGATGTGCTCTGGCTCCAGGGACCTGCGGCTGCAGCACCGAATGGGCTCCTTCAATCCGGCCCTAGAGGCGAGATGGGTTTAGTGACCAGGCACAGGACAGAGCTTCCAGGCCACCAGGAACTGGGCATCCCTACCCTGGCTCGCCCTCCCTCCTGCCCCACCCCCACAGCCGGGCTGTGCCAACTTTGCCTGCCTCTCTCCAGCAGCTCCCGACAACAAATCCATGACAGAGATTGCAGTGGGCAGGGTGCTGGCCGGGCAGGGGGAGGAGTAGGGCAGCTTCTGGGGAATTGGTTAATGGAAGACTAAGATCAACAGAGGGGAGTTCTTGGGGTGGGGGAGAGGGGCAGACGGCTCCCTGGGATCCATTCGCCACCCGCACAGATGAAGGGGCTGCTAGTTCTGGGCTTGGGCTTGGTGGCCCTGGCTGCGGCTAGCGAATTGACGCTGCAGGAGAGGGTGGTGGACTTGGTGCTGGAGGCTTTTCACAACAGGAAAGTCGTGCAATGGGTGTACAAGAAACAGGCCGTGGAAGACGTCACTGAAACAGTGAGTGCGTGAGAGCCGGTGACGCGTTGCTGTGCGCTGAGCTGCTGAGTCCCTCCCCAGAGGTGGCTGCTCCGCAGTGATGGGGGAAGCGATTCCTGTCTACCCAGCCTGTGGGACGAAAGGAACATGGGACTCTCATGGCTGAGAGCCCCTCTGGGTGGGTTTGCGGTGGGGATACACAGCGCCCATGGGTGGGTACGGAGGAGATCTGCAGAGACTAGCTGGGGGCAGGGAAGGGGAGCTGTGGGGAGGACTGGGTTTGGGTACAGGGAGGGGGGTGGGATGGCGGTGGGCAGGGGCCTGGGGATGAGTTGGAGCCCTGCAGAGCCATGCTCAGCACTCCCAGTGGCCCATGCGTCGTGCATCGCCTGAGGGGACAAGGCCGGCTAGGCGGCCAGGGCTCTGCGCAGCCAGAATGGGGAAAGCAGGATGGAGCCTGGCCCCGTGGAGCTGCTCACGGCCCGGCAGGCAGCGCAAGGCGGGCGTCGGTCGGGAGAGCTGGTTCCAGCTAACGGGGCTCAGCGTCCTGGCCCAGGGGGGCTAGGCTGGGCTGCGGGCACCTGGCCAGCCTTGTCAGAGGCGAATGGGCGTTGACCTGCAGAGCTCAGCTACACATGAACTGTGCCCGGCCCCCCTGAGGGGGCAGCCAGTGGCAGGCACAGGGTGCGGGGCACTGCCGGGGGCCTCGGAGTGGTGACGTCTCAGTAGCCCCGCCCCTTTGCTCCCCAGGCTCGCCCCGCCCCTCCTGAGGGACCCCAGGCCCACCTGCTCCCCTGGGGTCCAGTCCAGGGCTGCGCATTGGCAGCTGCTGGTGCTGCTCAGAATCCCGCGCTGCCCCTCCCTGGGCTGTAACCCGCTCTCCCGGGCGCTCCAGCGCCTGCTGCAGCTTCCTCCCACGCTGCGGCCGAGCTCGGGCTGGCTGCCCACAGTGCCCGGCCTCTCCGGTGGCAGCTTTTCCTCCCGGCTGTGCCCCTCGGCCCCCCCGGAGACGTAACCCACCAGCCGTTGGCCCCTTCCCGGCTGCTGCGGCACGGGGCGAACCCCCCACACTCCAGCACAGGCCGCGGGGCGCTCAGGGGCTTCTCCCAGGCTCCTCTGCGGACACCGCTGCTCATGGGAGCGGGTGCGTTGGACGTCCTGTCAGACTTGGGGGCCGGGAGCGGCACGAGGCAGAGGGAGTCTCTACCAGCCCCTCCGTCGCCTGGGGTGACACTGCCCCTCACAGGGTCACGCCATGGCGGGCGAGTGAGGCTGTATCCCGGAGGCGGCTGGTTGGTGCAGGCCGCGTGCCCAGGCCTCTGGCACTGGCGGGGCTGGAGTCTCCAGCGCACCCCTGGGCACTGGCTAGTCACAGTGAGCAATGCACAGTCCCCTTAGCACGCAGGGCGTTTCCTCAGGACACACGCGTCCCGGGGAGCCTCCACCCCCCTCGGCAGAGGGAGCCCGGGGCTCTGGCAGGAGCTGCCAGCGGCGCTTTGCTGACCCTGGTTTCTCTTTGGTTCCAGGAGTATCCGGCGGGGCCCTTTGTGCAGCTGCGGGTCAGGATCCAGCAGACCCAGTGCCCGAACCAGCCGGGGAGCAGACAGGACTGCGCCCTCAAACGCAGAGGGGTGAGCGAGGGGCCAGCCGCCTCCGACCTCTGTCTGTCCGGGCGGCTGGGTGACTGCTCCGGAGGGTCATTTCCTCCCCCTCCACCGGGGAGCAGGCTGTGGTGACACGCTCCCCATCCCGGGAATGAGGTGGGGGGCAGCCCCCAGCTCCGCCGGGCCCCAGGGAGGAGTGCGGAGCGTGCGAGCAGCAGGGAGGGGCTGAGCGGTGGCACGAGGCTGAGTGTGCCCGAGTAGGGAGGGCTCCAGCTGGACCCTGCGTGGTGGGGGCTGGAGGCGGCTGCCGCGGGGCAAGGTGCTGGGCTCTGGTCCCTGCTCTGCCAGGGACTCCCCAGGGACAAGTCACCGTGTGGCTCTGGCTGTGCGAGGGACACAGACTGGGGAGGCCCAGCACCTACAGGGATTGGGGCCAGGGGTGCGGGGGTGTGTGTGCACCGACCTGCGGGTGCGAGGGGGAACATCCCCCGCGGTGAGGGAGGGGCACAGACGGCCCTGGGGACACATGCAGCAGGGGGAGCTGGCGGGGGAGCTGCTGCATGTTCTCGGCAGCCCCTGGGCGCTGCCCACGGGGCTGGAGGCTTCCCTTGGTCCCTCTCTCCTCAGAGGAAGCAGATCTGCCTGGCTTGTGTCAAGTTTGACTCCCGCAGCGGGGGAAAGGTGCTGGGTAGCTACACGCATTGCAGGATGGAGAAGCAGCAGTCTGAGAAGGTGAGCGCGCCCGCGGGCGGGGATCGGGCGCAGAGCCGCTCTCCTGGGAGCAGATGCTGGGAAAATCCAACACGTCGGCAAGGGGCCTGAGAGCAGTGCTGGGTGGGGCCACTCCCAGGTGCAGCATGGGTCTGCGCACAGAGGATGGACGGACACCTGTGCTCCTGGTAGATGCCAGGACACGCACATGCCCACGACATGCACACAGACAGGCACACGCATGCAGCACGTGAGCACCGAGGCTCAGCGGTTCCATGCTCTGTGCAGACTGATGGTGCCAACAGCGATGGGCCCAGCCCATGCCCCCGGGGCGCTGCTTGGGGCTGGATCCGCACCAGCTCCCTGGCTGGAGCTGTGACCTGGCACCTCTGCCCCTGCAGGAGATGGAGACGAGACACGAGGAGGAGTGCAGCACTGTGCAGGAGACGGGCGAAGCGCCCTACCATCCCGGTGTCTTTGCCTTCTCCAGAGGGCTGCCGTCATAGCCAGGGCGCCTCCCCCACATCCACAGCATGGTAGGACGGGCACCCGCAGGCAGGGCCCTGGGACCAGGTGGGGGCTGGGCTGCTCATGGTTCCCTTTGGGGGCTCTGGGCTGGGCACCAGATATCTCCTCTCTCCGGCCGAGCCCCCTGCAGAGCGCTCCGTGCCCGCTCCCCTTGGGACTGATGCCCTTTGACCCAGTGCCCTCCCCAGGGACTGATCCCACAGCCCAGCAGAAGGCGCCAGCGGGAGGGGGCGTGTCCAGCACCCCCAAGGGGGACCAAGGGCAGGCAGATGGGGCAGGGGTTTCCGGGGTCCGGCCTGGGCTGCAGAGACTCGGGCTCACCCAAGGCAGCGGTGAGCAAGTGTTCCGGTCTGGGCGCTGCTCGCTGGCTGCGGAGCAGTGAGTTTGCTGGGCTCGAGTGAGTCCTTAGTGGTGGGTCCAGGTCACAACCCGCCCCCCCCGTCGCCCCCTGGCTGGCAGCCCCAGCAGAGGCCAAGGAGCAAACGGGCCCCGGAGCAGCGCAGGCTGGAACATCACGGTCTGTGACAGACGGACGGGTGTGCCCTCGGAGCTGAGCTCAGAGCACCCCCATGGGGGCCGGAGTGCCAGCCGGCGGGCATGCCTGCGGGCCCCTGGGTGCGGAAGGTGTGCCCTCGCTCCTGCCCCAGGCAGCCGCTCCCCAGGGCCGCAGCTTGGCTCTCTGCGAACGTGACCCACTCGGCTGGTCTGACGCAGGGGCGGACGCCTCCTCCAATCTCAGAAACGAACCCAGCCGGAGAGCAGCAGGGGTGGGGATCCCCCAGAGCCCCCAGCCGCAATGCTAACCCCATGGCGTGTCTCCTCTTCCCCTAGCCAGCCTGGGCATCTCTGGCGCCCCCCACCCGCGGAAGGATGCTGCGATTGCCACTGCCCAGCGGAGACCCGGCGACCACCCCTGCCCATCAGACACTGCGCCCGCTCCAGCACCAGGCCGGGCAGAACGACCTGGCCAACGGATCCTGCTACCCCTTCCCCGCACCCCCGCTTCACTCAGCTCCATCGCCCGGCTGTTCATCCCCAATAAAGCCAGAGCCCCAGTTCGGAAGGGCTGTGCTGTTATTCAGACGGGCTGCCCTGCCGGCGGATGCTAAGTCGGGCCAGCCGGCCCCCCAGGGTATTTCTCGGGTCATGGGAATATGCTGGGCCTGCTCCCGCCAACCCGGATTGCCCCCATGGGTCGTCTGCTCCAGCGCATCGTCTCCTGCCTGCCGTGGCAGGGCAGCCCAGGAGTCTGTCACCCGCTCTCCCACCCCGCTGGGTCCCCGGGCTCTCCCTGCCTCGCTCGGGGGTGGAGCATTTAGCTGGGTGTGGTGCCCCCGGGGTGTGGAAATCACCCCCGGAAGCACCCTCGCGAGTTTCACAGTCCAGCCGCCAGGAAGCAGGAGGGTGCTGGGGCGAAGGACCAGGCCAGGCAGGCAGGGAGGGACCTGGGGGACAGAGCTGGGGCGAGGGGTGCAGCCCCCAGAACAACTCACCAGGGCAGGGCCTAAGAACCCCAAGCTTATCAGGCCCCCCTTGTGGCAGGGAGGCCCCACAGTCCAGCTCGTCGGAGGACAGTCCCAGGGCCCTGCGGCACAGCTGGGGTGCCCCCGGCTCTACCGACCGGGCACAGAGAGGCAGGGGCCAGGGAGCAGACAACACATTTATTTCACAGGCAAATCTCTTCACGTGGCACCGCGGCACTTCCACACCGGGCAGGGCCCATGGTGCCGGAATGGGCAGTTCCCAGGCCTGCCTCCCCTTGGTCGCCCATGGCTGTGTCCCCTCCTCCCCCTGAGCCCAGGGGATCGCCCCACCCCTCCCCTGGGTCCTGCCCCCAGGAAGCAGGCTGACCGCTCCTTCCTACCAGCGGCTCAGGGACGCTTGTCGCAGTCAGCGCTAGGGCTGGTCCTGGCCTCTGCTCCTGTCTAGTCCAGCGTGCAGGGCACCGCTGCCCACCTGCCTCCGTGCCAGCGGTCCGAGAGGGGCTCCTGCCAGCCTCGGATGGAGGCAAAATCCCATGGGGTCAGCTGTGCGCCATCCCCAGTTCCTGGCAGATCTCAGAGCAATATGCCAGGGCACGCACCAGCCCAGAGCCCGGGGGTTCACACAGACTACAGGTCCCCCCATCCCCCGCCTCCTCTCTGCCACCGGGGGCAGCCGGCCGGTTCTCGCACAGGCACTGGGTTGGGAGGGACAACAGGGGAGAGGGAAGGTGCTGCCCTGGTAAAGGGACTGGTTCCCCCAGGACCCTGGCCGGTAGGGACTGAACGCTGGGCCCTGCTGGCAGCTGGCGGGCTGCCTGCGGGAAGGAGACTCAAAGGGAAGGACGTGGGGGGGTCCCCTCCCCAAACCCATCACTGCCTCTGGCCCCCACTGGCCCCGTTAGATGAGAGGCCAAGGAGCGAGGGAGCGAGCCATGTGGCAGGCGGGGCCGTTGCCCGTTGGTGGTGGGCCACTAGCCCTGAGCTGCCCGCACGGTGCCTGCTGGTGGAATTGTCTCCAGGGCCGCCAGCCCGGCTCCTCTCAGAGCAATCTGAGAATTAAGCCCAGGGCGGAGGGAGCTGGGGGCAGCCCTGAGCCCCAGGGCAATGCCAACGGCTGAGCGGACTCACCGGAGGCCCGAGGGGAACTGGCGGGGTGCTTTGGGGAGAGCTGGAAAAGCCCCCAGGTTTGCCGGCGCCCAGCACTCCACAGGCCCAGCTCCAGGGGCTCCCGCGCACACCGGTGCTGGGGCTCTGTGGCTGGGCCCCTCCATCCAGTCGGCTCCTGGAGCCCCTCTTGCTTGGGCCCCAAACTCCTCTCTGGCTTCGGGGCAGAGTCAGATCAGCTTGGGATGAGGGGCCGGGGCCAGCTTCGCCCCTGCAGGCGGTGCCCGGTGGGCGGCTCAGAACACATAGGAGCTGGGGTCGCTGCGGACGCTCAGGGCCCGCTCCGCCTGCGAGATGGTGTCGTCCGCCCTCTCGCTCAGCTCCCGGCACTCCCGCAGCACGTCGTTGAACTGCTTGTAGGCCTCCTCCATGATGGAGCTGCGCCGAGCCGGCCTCCGCTCCCAGTAGCCCTCCTCCACCCAGGGCAGGGCCGCGCCCGGCGGCTCCGGGCTGCCCGCCCCGCCGCTGCCGCCCCGCTCCAGGGAGCTGTCCAGGTCCCTGCAGAGCTGGTAGAGCTCGCTGCCGCGCCCGGAGACCCTCTCGCCGTCGATGGCCTTGAGGCCGGGGAGCAGGTCCCGCAGGGCGCTGCGGTAGGCGCCGGAGGAGCAGACGGGGTTGCTGAGGCGGGCCCGGGCGTCGTGCAGACGCAGGCTCTCCAGCCGGCGCAGCCCCGCCAGGCACTGCAGCTGCTGCAGGCTGCCCAGCAGGTTGCCGGCCACGTTGAGGCTCTGCAGGCTCTCGCAGGCGCCGAGCGGCTCCAGGCTGCAGACGCGGTTGGCCGAGAGGTTGAGGACAGCCAGGGACTTGAGGGCAGCCAGGGGGCCCAGGTGGGAGATGGCGTTGCCGGAGAGGTCCAGCCACTCCAGGCTGGCGCACTCGCCCAGGCAGCCCAGCTCCGAGATGCCCAGGCCCCGCAGCTTGAGCAGCAGGATGGACTCCAGGGCGAACTCGCCCGTCTTGGCCTTCAGCAGCTGGGCGGTGATCCTGACGTTCTCGCCCTCGTCCCCCTTCTCCGCCCAGGGCTCCATCGTGGCCGGCCCGCTGCCCTACGGCTCAGGCAGGGCCCGAGCGGCCCACAGCCACTCAGCCACGGCACGGAGAACCTCTGCACACCCCGAGCTGGGCCAGGTCCGGGAAAGCGCTTTGCCCCTTCCAGGCGCCTCTGCCCCACAGGGCTCCCTGGAGCCCGCTGCCCGTGCGGCCACGCTGGGTCACGCCGGCAACGCACCAGCCCCTGGAAGGGAAGAGAGACGGGATCAGGACCCTGCCCAAGCCCAGCCGCCTCCTTCCCGCCAGCACCAGCCTCAGCCACCAGGGCCTGTAGTAAGAGGAGGCCCTGAGATATAAACCTTGGTATCAGAGGCCTGGTGTGAGGCCTAAGGCCTGAACTAAAGTAATGGTCAAGACTTTGCTAACATAAAGCAAAGTGAAGCTATGAGCCAGAGGCAGGCCCTGCTCACAGAAGCTGGCAAGGAAAGGGCTGATGCTGCAAAAAGAGACATACCTAAAAGGTACTGGACACCAGATATCAGAACATTCACGTACTGGAACATTCCACAGATAACCTGGAACAGGCCGACCCATCCCAATGACAGGGCAAAAGGGTAAAATGATGGATAGAGTTGTTTTGATCGAACCAACATGTACAAGGTGAGAGGTGGCACCTTACTACGTAGAGGGGTTGTACCTTGCTGCGTAGAGGGGTTGCACCTCAATACGTCAGGAGTGATGTGTAACTTGTTTGTACCTGTGTATAAAAATGTATCCCTGGGGTGGTGTCTTTGTCCGGCCGAGGGGGCAATGGAAAGTCCCGCCACTGACTGAGCCGGGTCCATTGCCGAGAGGCATCTATTAGTAGTATGCCCGGTAGACTAAGTAATCTACGGGGAACTGCAATTGTGTCAGGGTCGCAATAAACCTGGCCGAGGTGCCTTCGTACCTTACTAGACTCTGTGGTTATTGGGGGTTCTCGTCGGGTCTGCTGTGTCAGCTATCCGCGCAGAGCTGGGGCAGCACACAGAGGGAACACACGCACGCAGCCGAGTGATATCAACACAGGAGAAAGCAGAGCACCACACCGGTAGCATCTGACACAGGGCCGGAGCCCCCTCGGGCCCTGTCCCTACACACAGCTGGGCGCTCTGGGCGGCTCTGTGGCCTCCTGGCCCCTGGTGCTCGAAGCTGCCGTCTGTGGCAGGGGCAGCTCAGTTCCTGGGCTGGAGAGGTGGGGCAGGGAGGGGGCACGAATGTCCTGCAGGCTGCTCCGGGCGGGATGCTGCCAGACCCGCAGTGAGAGCTTTGCCCCTGACCTCGCCTGCCCGAGAGGTAGGTTCACACTACAAGCAGCAGCTGCTCAGAGCTGGGTGAAGAAGGAATTCACCCCCGCGGCCCCACATGCCTGGCCACGTCCGTCCAGGGGCATCACCCACTGCCTGTCTCAGACCTGACACCTTGTTACTAACCCCCTCACACACCCCGTGGGTCAGGGGTCTCCCTGGCTTCTTCTGTGTCCCCTTCCAGCCCCCGCCATGGCCAGAGCTCGGGCTGCTTTGATTGCCAGGCGCTGGGGGGGGGAGGGGAGCGCAGCGGGGGTGGGGGCGCAGGCACTAGGGGGCCAAGGCTGCAATGGTTGGTCTGCAAACGTGTGCGGGGTGCAGGTGGGGAGGGAGCAAGAGAGGTGGGGGAGGGGCGTTTCCATCCCAACGAAGCAAAAGGGGGGTTTGGAAATAGGGAATTTAAACATCAATTCTTGGCACCCTTGCAGGGACCCCCCCCCCCCCGGGGCCCCAGGCCGTCTGCAGCCTGCCACCGCCAGTGGGCCACGGAGAGCGCGCGGGGGGAGCTTCCGCCACCAACCCCTGCCCCCTGCGGGGCTGGCGGGAGCCCGGGAATGCACATGCACACCGATGTGTGCAGAGCCAGACACGCCTGTGCACACGGATGTACACGCGTGCATCACACACACACACAGGTGTGCAGAGCGACACAGCTACATGAATGTGTATGGGGCGCTCACAAGGATGAACACAATCACATGCACACACACAGATGCACACGTGGATGGCCGCACACACGGACACGGATGAACACACGCCCACCCCCCACGCTGCATTCACAGGACCCGAGCCGTGCCGCCCCGTGTCCCCCACCCGCAGCCCCTCACCTGGCGCAGCCGCCTGCTCGCTCCCCGCCGATCCCTTCATGGGGCGGGTGCCCCCCCGCAGCGTTGCCATGGCAACAGGGGCCCTGGCAACAGCTCCCGGGGCGGAAACATTTAAAGGGCCAGAAGCACGTTCTGCAAAGCGGGGGCGGGGCGGCTCCGCGGGACCCCGCTGGGGCCGGTGGCTGGAAGCAGGACCCTGCAGCCCCTGCCCCGCGGGGTCCCCGGGCACCACTGTCCCAGCGCTGCAGCCAGCTCCGGAGCAGGGGGCTGCGCGCCCCCGTGGCTGCGCCCCCGCTGGAGCCGGCGGTGTTGGCCTATGTCACGGAGTGTGGGGGGACACAAGGCCCTGCACCCCCGGCTTCCTGCGATTCACCATGACTCTCAGCCAGCCAGTAAAGCAGAAGGTTTATTTAGACGACAGGAACACAGTTCAAGACAGGTCTTACAGGCGCAGACAACAGGACCCCCCTCGGTTAGGTCCATCTTGGGGTTCCAGGGGCACCACAGCCCCGTTGGGGGGGTCAGAGCCCCGTCTGGGCTCCCTCCATTACCAGCCAGCTCCTGACAACTCCAACTCCCTCCAGCATCTCTCACCCAGCCTCTCCCCGGCTCCTCCCCCAGCCTTTGTCCAGTTTCCCAGGCAGAGGTGTCACCTGGCCTCCAACCCCCCTCCTGGGTTCTCTCGTTCGTTACATGCTCAGGTATCTTCCCTCAAGGCCAGTCTCCCATCCCCCAATGCAGACCATCCCAGCCAAACTCCCCACTCAGCATTCAAAGACCACATTAAGAACAGTCCCAGTTCATCACAGTCTATTAGTCCCCCCTAGGGTGACCAGATGTCCCGATTTTATAGGGACAGTCCCGATATTTGGGGCTTTGTCTTATATAGGCTCCTATTACCCCTCACTCCCTGTCCCGATTTTTCACACTTGATGTCTGGTCACCCTAGTCGTCGTCCCCCCCGGACTCCATTCCTCCCCCCCATTTAGCCCTGCTCCCGGTGTTTACTACAGTCATGGACAGGTCAGGGGCTCCTTGAATTTTTATTGCCCCTGATCTGTCCCTGAGTTTTACTAAAAATAACCGTGACAAAAACTTACCCTTAGGAATGGGGCATCAGCAAGCTGCCCTGGATCTGTGCACACACACACTGCACATGCTGATATACAGATACACACCGTGCACACACACACTCATACACAGACACACACCGTGCACACACACACTCATACAGATACACACCATGCACACACACACGCACAGATACACACCTATCTGCACACACACACCTATCTGCACACACACAGATACACACCATGCACACACACACACACAGAACTGCACACACAGATACACCCTGTGCACACTCACACTGATACGCACCATGCACACTCACATACACGGATACACATCATGCACACACCCAGATACACACCGTGCACACACAGATCTGAACAGATATACCCTGTGCACGCTCACACATGCAGATCTGCACACACACATAAACCCACTGTGCACACACACACAGTGCACCCAAAGATTTGCACACACAGAGATACACACTTCACACACAGCTCTGCATGCGCACCCAGATACACACATTGCACATGCATGCATACACATCAGTCACACACAGATCTGCACATGCACACACATACATGCTGCACAGTCACACAGACGTGTCCTGGGTATGCTCACACATGCTGCACACTTGCAACACGCATGCAACATACATGTTCACACACACACTGTGATGCTCACAGAAACACAAGCAGGGAGGTCTGGAAAGGGATGGGCAACTAGCCCAGCCCCCTGCACTGAGGCAGCACCCAGGGAAGCCTAGACCCTGACAGGGGTTTGTCCAACCTGTTCTTAAAACACCTCCAGTGATAGAATCTTTTCCCTAATATCTCACCTCCATCCCCCTGGCTGCAGATTAAGCCCATTGCTTCTTGTCCGACCTCCAGTGGAGAACTGGTCACTGTCCTCTTTATAGCGACTGAGACCAAACGGCCCATGGTTAGGAGACACACCGAGCGCAGCAGGGCCCATAGGGGAGCTGTACCCTCCCCCTTCAGCCATCTCTGCCCCACAAGGGCCCAGTGGCGTACCCCGGAGACGGGCGGGTGCCCCGCTGCCTGTATCTTGGAGACGGTCTCTAAGCCGGCCGGGTCCCCTCCTCCCCGCTGCTGCTGCCCGCGCTGTCGTTCTCCGAGCAGATGAGGGGCGGCGGGGGGTAGTCGGGGAAGTTCCCCAGGTTGGCTTTCAGAAAGACGAGGCGCTCCCCGCTCTCCCCCTGCGGGAGGCGCCTCTCGGAGAAGGGGCTGTCTGGGGCGGTGAAGATGCGCTCGGAGAAGGCCCCCGAGGGTGGGCAGGACAGGTAGAGCATGGCCACCTTGGCCAAGGCCGGCCAGAGCCAGTGCCGCTTCTCCCAGTACCCCAGCGGGTCCTCCCGGGCCCCGATGGTCTGGTTGTCGCGCAGGTACCTCTCCACCATCACACAGGCCGAGTGGCTCTCGGTGGGGAGGGAGGCCCCGCGGCCCTCAGACGCCAGCAGTCCCACGCTCTCCAGGTGCTCGGTCAGGGTCTTCTCCTTCTGGATCAGTGGAGGCACCGCGGAGCTCGGCCCCCTGTCCCGATGGGGCTCCCCTGGCCCCGTCTCTGCCTCCCGGGGCTGTGGGGCCGTGTCCACGCAGAAGGCCTTGCCGGGCTGGGCGTTCCAGGGGGAGGAAGGGCAGCCGGGGGGTGAGGCCAGGAGCTCCTTGACCTTCCGGACCAGCAGCTGCTTCCAGTGGTCGAGGTCGGAGCCCAGCGGCAGGATGGCGTCCATCCTGCCCTTGAAGCGGGGGTCGAGCAGCGTGGCCAGCACGTACTCCTGGCGGTGGAACATCTCGCTGATCCGGGGCTCGGTGGAGAACTGCAGGGCCAGGCTCTCGGCCAGGCGAACGGCGGAGCCAGCCCCCTCCCCGGCCTGGCTCTCGAAGCGCAGGCGGATCTGCTGGAGGAAGATGTGCAGGTAGCGCACCTGCGGCAGCACCTGGCTCAGTGAGGCGTCGGCCGCGCTCGCCTCCCGCACAGCCATCTCGAAGGGCTGCAGCAGCTCCACCAGGCTGCGCATCAGCGTCCACTGTGTGGCGCTCAGGGCCAGGCCAGCCTCGCCCATCCGGCGCTTGCCCACGTACTCCTGCACAGCCGGCTGCAGCGCCAGCAGCCGCTCCAGCATGTAGTAGGTGGAGTCCCAGCGCGCCGTGGCCTCCTGCTTCAGCCGGCGCGGGGCCAAGCCGTGCTGCCGCTGCAGCTCCGCCAGCCCCCTCCTGGCCTCTGGGGAGCGGGCGAAGTGGGCGCAGATGGCGCGGGCCGCCCCCAGTGTGCCCTCGATGCTGCGGTGGAGGCGCAGGAAGCCCAGCACCAGCTGGCTCAGGCAGTGAGCGAAGCAGGGGATGTGGGTGTGGCCGCCGTCCTTCGCGGCCCGCTCCACGCCAGGGCTGCCGCCCGAGACCAGGAAGCCGGGGCTCAGGGAGTTCTGGGCCAGCCACAGCTGGAGCTGCTCGGCCAACGCCTGCTGCACGCCACCCAGCGCCTGCTCCCCCTGCAGCGCCTGCACGCACAGCACCGCCTGCCTGCGCTGGCTGCATGGCTGGTGCTGGCCTGACTCCGAGCGGGGCGCCAGCCAGTGCGCTGCCAGCGCCAGGTGCTCCCCGGCCGGCCCCTGGGCCCACACGTGGGCGCTGAGGTGCACCCGGCTGAAGCTGGTCTGCTGCAGCTCCAGGGCCAGGCCCAGGCCGACAGCCTGGCACAGCTGGGGCACTGCTTTGCGGGAGAAGAAGGCCGGCGAGGGGATGTGGTAGCGTGGGTCAGCCTGAGCCATGAACCGGTGGAAGGGCTTGGCCGAGACGAAGGAGCAGGGCAGGGCCATGCCACACAGCAGCTCGGCAATGCTGCGGTTCCAGGCCTGCGCCTGCGGGTGGTTGGGGGTGTATTTGCCGGGCACGTCCCCGCCCCGCTCGGCCAGGCCGGCTTGGTTCTTGCTGGGGGGCAGTGGGGCAGCTGGGGCGGGCAGGGCTTTCTCCGCCTTGCCTTCGGGGGGTGCCTCACTCTGCCAGCTGTCACAAACGGGAGCTGGGGCCCCGCCAGGGCTGACGCAGGGCAATCTCAGGGGGTCCGACGCTGCGGGCGACGTCAGAGACAGGTCCTCCACGGGCTCTTCGTCCTCCGCCGGCCCCAGGCTCAGCCTCTGGGACCGGGCGCTGCCGGGAGGGGTGGCAGGAGCGCCAGCAGCCCGCCCCCGCCCCCACTCCAGTGGGTGCTTGCCCTCCAGGTGGCGCATGAGGGCCGAGGTGCCGAAGTGGCTGCCCAGTTTGCCGCGGCTGACGCTGGCCTGGCACAGGGTGCAGACGGCCCGGCACACGTTGCTGCAGTCGATGTAGAAGAACTGCCAGACGGCCGAGGTGGACTTGCGGCGCTTCGTGCCCGGTGGCACCAGTGGGTGGTTGGGGAGGCTGAGCTGCCCGGACTTGGGGAGCCCCTGGCCCACTAGCATCTCCAGGTAGGGTGTGGCCAGGTCCGGCTTGGGGTGCCCCGCTTGGGCGCTGCCCTTCATGCCCCTCTCCCTGCCCTGGGGGAGCAGCTTGCTATTCTCGCTGCTTTCCTCCTCGCTGGACTCTGGGGAGGAGTCAGTGACTGGGGTGCCTGCCCTTCCCCGCCCCTCCTCCTCCTCCTCTTCCTCACTGGAGTCGCTGATCACGTACAGGAAGCGGGGGGCGCCCTGGGGCACTTGGGGGGGCGCCCTGCTGAAGGCTTGGGCGGGGGAGCACAGAGCATGGCTGGTGCCAAACACAGTGTCCTGCGAGGGAAACTCCTTCGCCACCTGTTCTTCCTCCTCCTCCTCATTCTCCTCCTCCTCCTGGGCCCTGCCCCCTGCTCTCTTCCTCTGCCCCCACTCCAGCGGGTGCTTGCCCTCCAGATGGCGCTTGAGGGCGGTGGTGTTGCAGTGGCCCCTCAGCTTGCCGCGCCCGACGCTGGCCTGGCACAGGGTGCAGACGGCCCGGCAGGGGTCACTGGCGTCCGGGGAGAAGAACTGCCACACCTCGGAGGTGGTCTTGCGGCGCCGGGTGCGGATGGGGAGGCCGAAGGCCGGAGGTGCGGGGCGCTTCGCTGCCCATCCCTCCAGGAGAGCCTTGTCTACACCCAGCACAGAGGAAGGGGGTTGCCAGCCGGCTGTGACGCGAGGCTGGCTGCCCGCACCTCGGGGAGCCAGCTCTGCCGTCCTCCTCTCATGGTTCCCTGCCCCACAGGCCGCCATGAATCCCAGCATGCCGCCCTCATGGCCCTCCTCCTCCTCGTCGCTAAACTCCAGCTTGATCTCGATCTCGGGGACGTGCTCATGGTCGGGGCCCAGAGGCAGATGGCGGAGGTGGGCATCGGCAGCACTGGCTACGGCGAAGGGGAAAGCGCCCGCGGCACGCTCTGCTATGGCCCGGGGCAAGGTGGCACGGACGCCAGGGCTTGGCATGGCCGAGCCGCCGACTGTCCTCCGCTTCCGCAGCTTGCTTTTCTTTACCGGCAACATGCCTAGCGAAAAGGAGCAGGTTCGGGGAGGGAAACACCCGGGGTCAAAGGCAGCTGGCAAAGCAAGTGGTGTCCCCCTGCCCCATACCCGCCACGCCCGGCCAGGCCCTCTCCTCCCCCTCAACAGGAGGAGATTCGCTCGTTGACAGCGGCTGAGCCAGGTGCTGCAAGCCCAAAGTAGGGCGATGCTTTCCGAGCCGGGGGAGAGGCAGTGTCCCGTCCGCGAGCGCAGAGCTCAAAGCTGCACTGGTGGCTGGGGTAGGCTGCCAGAGCGGCCTCGGGACTACCAAGGCGGCACCAGAGGCAGGGTTCTAGGGGCGGGAGGCCGCCGGCCGCAGCTGCTCGTTGATTTCCAGGTAGGTAGCGAGTCTGCTCACAAAGAACGCTGTTAATTCAGGAGTTCATTCCTAAGACCTCAATGGCTCCTCAGCCTCTCCGCCTGGCTGCTCCCATCCAGGTGTCCGTCCACAGGAAGCCATGGAGCTACAGCTGCTGTTACCCACTTGTTCTGGGTGAGGCAGCGCGGGGGCCCCTGCCTGGGGTCTCTGCAGCAGGGCTCTGGGTGTCCGGGCCAGGCCCACGCATCCGGAGCTGGGAGCCCGGCTCCTCAGGACACGCCCAGGGGGACACAGTGCTGGGGAAGATGGAGAATCCACCAGTTCTGGACCTACAACAGCAGAAAGGAAGCTCAGAATCCTACAAAGCAGCCCCAGGAGAGCAGCTGCCCGTCGCTGCCAGGTCAGGCCGGAGCACATAATAATGGTCAGACTGGGTCAGACCAAAGGTCCATCTATCCCAGTGTCCTGTCTTCTGAGAGTGGCCAGTACCAGGTGCCCCAGAAGGAATGAACAGAACAGGTAATCATCAAGTGATCCATCCCGTCGCCCATTCCCAGCTTCTGGCAAACAGAGGCTAGGGACACCATCCCTGCCCATCCTGGCTAATAGCCATTGATGGACCTATCCTCCACGAACTTATCTGGTTCTTTTTTGAACCCTGTTATAGTCTTGGCCTTCACAACATCTTCTGGCAAGGAGTTCCACAGGCTGACTGCGTTGTGTGAAAAAATGTTTGTTTTAAACCTGCTGCCTATTAATTTCATTTGGTGATCCCTAGTTCTTGTGTTATGAGGAGTAAATAACACTTCCTTATTTACTTTCTCCACA